TTCTGGCCTCCCTGAACTATGCAGGACATAGGTACACTTAAGTACATATAGGCAAAACACACATACACATAAAATAAAAATAAGTTAATCAAAAATTTAAAAACTAATGCATCAGCCATTTAGTTAAGACCACCCACCTATTTGACAACTCTTGTCATATATCAGGAATTGTATTCACAACATATTTCATCTTAGGACCATATACTATGCTCAGTCCATGGTATTTTTAATAACTAGAAATGCAATTTTATTACCTTCTGATTATGTAGAATTAAAAATTATGATTACAATAGGCATTTGCTTAGTATTTTCTATTTAGCTGAATAATTTTAAACTAGCTTTTAATGCCAAGGTGATTTAAAGGATATTTATTTTTCTCCCTTACTTGCTTTAACAAGGTTGCAACATTTGATATCACTCTTAATAAAGACATCCCCACGAGATACCCCAAATAATTACTTCCATAGCTCTTGTCTTGTTCAGAACATTTAACAAGCCCTTTCTCCCAAGGGACTACTGCAGGTGGTGAACATTTGTCTGGCTGATGGAAAGAACTTTATTTCTGCCGTCTTCACAAATCATACATGTCTTCACAACACCCATCAGAATGGAAGTCTGAAAGAAAATCTGATCTAAGAGGGAAAAATGTGGGGTAAGTGATTGCATCTCTCTGATTTGCTCCTCTAAGATAATTCTTGGAAACTTTCTATTGTCTGTTTCACAGAGTCCAGTCTCCCTGGAACTGAGAAGGGATTCTTTATCTTCTAACATTTTTGGGAGACAATTCATGGCTTTGTAGCAGTGCTCCTATTTCAAATGGCACTGTCTCAGGTTATAGGGATTTTCATCCGCTCAACTAAAGGAGCCGCACACAACTAGCACTGGTCATATGGACCTTACTATTTTTTTAACTTTACTTATTATTTTTATATTATGTGTATGTGTGTATTGCCTGCATGTAGGTAACTGAACCTGTGTAGTGCAATGCACATGGAGGTCAGAAGAGGCTCTCAGATCCCCTGAAACTGGAGTTATGGGCAGTTGTTAGCTGCCATGTGGGTGCTGGGATTCAAACCCGGGTCTTATGCAGGAACAACCAGCGTTCTTAAGCACTGAGCCATCTCTCCAGCCCCGATTTTACTATTATCAATGACTTTTCAATTAGAAAATGTCAACTGTGTAAAATATCATTCATCATGATTATTGAAATAGAAATTATTATAAATCTGAAATTGGTGTAAAATTTTGCTACTACAGAAATAGGACTAAAATTCATACCCTAGAAGGAAAGATGGCATCACTTCCTCCTGGCATGATCCTGTGCATTCCCTTAATTCCTGTCAGGGAACTCTTTGCATATCCTTTCATGAACAGGTGTATTGATGTCACAGAGCTTAATACATTCATCATTGAGTACACGTTCAGAAATGCTTTTCTTATTTTTTTTATTGTCTTTTTGAAACAGGGTCTCCCTGTAGCCCCAGCTGTCCTGGAACTCACTGTGTACACCAGGCTGGCCTCAAACTCACAGAGATCTGCCTGCCTCTGCCTCCCAAGTGCTGGGATTAAAGGTGTGGGTCACCATGCCTGGCTCAGAAATGCTTTTGTATCTGCAAGAGAATGAACACTTTGTTGTTTTATTTTAATGCTCCTTAAAGAGCAATTCATTTTGTCCCCTTTCCTTAATATTTTGTATTCTTATACATCTGAGCTTTATTAGCATCTTTTAAAACAACCATCTCTTAGTTAAGGATTTAGAAAGTGTGTTGGTAGACTTTCCTCTCAAATGCAGGTCACTCAATACATCAAAATTCATGTGGCCATGGGAAGAGTGAAGCAGACCATGTGCCTGATGCAGCCCATGCATCTGTGTGTTCTATAGCTGCTGAACATAATGACTTACAGAAAATGTAAAGAGTAGGTTCTTTAAAGAGGGATAGTCCTTTATTTTGAATACAGGAAGAACTGAAGTAGTACTTTTTTCAAGATTCACCAACAAAATGAGGAACAGAAAAGCATATTTATTAACACACTCATAGAAGTAGAAAGATTATACATATATATATATATATATGTTAAATTAGAGTTCTCTTTGGACAGGTTTGGACAATGAAAAAGAAATATATTTGTTCCATTACAGGTGGCCAACACGTAATGAAGTTTCAGTTAAATATAGCTGAAAATTTTAGTTTGTTATTTTTGCCCAATATTGCTAATATGATAATCAGATTAGTTCAAGAATATTTTCTTTCTTTTTTATTTATTTGCTTTTTGAGACCAGATCTCCATATAGCCTCAGCTCTGCTGGAACTTCTTATGTAGATCAGGCTAGCTTTGAATTCACGAGCACCCACCTGCCTCTGCTTCCTGAGTGCCAGGATTGAAGACATGTACCACCAAGCCCAGATTCAACAAAATTTTAATAACAGCAGAAATGTTCTTTATAAAGCTGCCTTGATAACTTATCTGTCGGTGATGTCCTCTGAATGTGCATAGCCATCCTTCAACAAATTACGTATTCATGCACATTTACCATGATGGTTTGGCCATTTATTGCTATTTATATAAATTTTTCACACAAATAAAAAATTTGTTTTTGAAAATTTACTCTGGAAAATTTTAATTGGCAAAAACTAATATTTCAGAAAAATGTTCAAATTATTCAAATTTTGTGAGGGATACAATTCTACTAATTTTAAAATACTTTTTTTCAGAATTAGGTCTGTATTAGAAAATATGTGCTTACAAATGCAATACAACAGACCTACATTTATTTGCATACGTATGTAATCTGAATTAGAATCTCTTCAATATGAAAGTTGTGACTACTACTATGTATCTCCTTTTCTTTAGAAAATGCATGTGCTAACTGACCCAGAATTCTGATATCCTGAGTTATACTTTCTGAGTCCTTATTATGGATTCAGTGGGAAGGAAAAAATAGATGTTGTGATTAGGTAATGGATTTTGTTATTCACTTGCTTGATTTGATATTATGGAGATTTTAACATATAAAAGAAACTGAGATAAATAAATTAAAACACTGTTGAGAATGAACTGATATATGGGGAAAGATCATTGTTTTTATCACTGAGCTTGAAGAGTATTGACAACTCATTTAGGTATCAATTAAAGCCCCCCAAATAATTCTTTTTTTAAAAGTAATACACCCTGGGGGCTGAAGAGTTGGCTTAGTCATTATGAGCACTGACTCTTTCAGAGGATCTGAGGATCTGAGTTCCCTTTGAACAACCATCCATAACTCCAATTCCAGAGGATTTGACACCATTCTATGACTTCTGTGGATTTTCATGCATGTGGTGCACTTACATACCTGCAGACAAAACACATAAATAACACATAATCATACACATGAAATAAAATTAAATACTTAAGAATGGTTGAAGAAGTAGGACATGGCAGTGCAGGCCTTTAATCCTAGCACTCAGGAGGCAGAGACAGGTGGAGCTCTGTGAGATCAAGGCCAACCTGGTTTACATAGCATGTTCCAGGTCAGCAGGGACTACAGGGAGACCCTGTCTCAATAAGCAAACAAACAAATATGGGGGGGGTGGCTCAACAGTTAAGACTGCTGGTTTATTATTATTAATTTTTAATCCTGAGGCTGGGATTGACTGCTCCCCTTGCTATTATGGTGATTTATAACTGTAGAGAATGAACTGATATATGGCGAATGATAATAATTATTATCCCTGATTGAAGAGTATTGACAATTCATTTAGGGATCAATAAAAGCTATAAAATTATAATTAGAGGTACATAATCGCTCTTTGCTGAATGTTAAATTTTACATTCCCTCAACACTGAAAATCTAGGTGAGCTATGCAAACACACAGACACACACACACAAACACACATTATTCTCATCTAAAAATATATTAATTATGAAAATCAATACATAAATAATAATATATAAGAATAAATATCATTTGCCAGGCATGGTGGCACATACCTTTAATTCTAGCACTTGAGGGGCAGGGGCAGGCAGATCTCTGTGGGTTCAATGTCAGCCTGGCAGTTCAATATCAGCCTGGTCTACATAGTGAGTTCCAGGTCAGCTGGCGTTGCAGGGAGACCTTGTCACAAAAAGATCAAACCAGAAAAAAAAGAGGAGAAAAGAAAGAAACAGAAAACATTTATAACTTGGATGGCATGTAAACAACAATATTCAAAAGCCCTGAATTTTGAAACATCTATTGATAAATAATTTTTTACTCATAAGTTTAAGCTACGTGGTGTTTTAAGAGTCTATCAAGGCAGACTGTAAATATGAGTTTCTTTTATCCTTGTTTAATTCATTTATAAATGACTGAATATTTAATTTTTTTCTAAATCATTTAAATGATAAATTCTATTTCCTATGGATTTTAATAAATGTATAGTATGTTCCAAGTATATCAATTTCTATAGCAATCATGTGATAAGTGTCCTAAACTTTTATAGAGATTTGAAATATAATTATAGTTTTATGGTATCTTATAGGAGGTTTCTTTGAGGCTCAAATGAATAATTATACACATAAGAAAATAAGATAATTCATGTCCTTTGTGTTGAAATTCAAAGTTGACTCACCATCATCCCTTCAAGTTTATACCCTAAAATTAATACATAGTGTAGTGAATGTGGGTGCCGTACTCAGAGCTTTTGGTATCCTCCTGGAAAGAAGCTGGCTTCCAACTGAAGGTGGTTATTTTTTAACTGTTAATGTACTACCCTGATTTGTCTTATTTGTGAGAGTACATTTCTAACAATTCTTTCTCATAGTAATCTTATATTGTTTTCTTGGTATATTAATATTACTTAACTTTCAGAACATAATGTTATTTAGATTTGGTCAAGGACATCTTCTTGCAATTATAGTTTTCAGTTTCAGATAGAGAATTTAAACTTCAGTGTATTTCAGATTCAAAAAGCTTCACTTTCCTCCAATTAATCAACCATTTTTCAGGTTATTTCAGGGGAACCACAGAACAAAATGGATGAAGGAAGTTAATCAGTCTGCAGTGCCAGAATTTGTGCTTCTGGGACTTGGCCACTCACAGGATGCTCAGGTCTTACTGTTCATGCTATTTCTGGTTGTTTATGTCACCACTATAATTGGAAATATGGTCATCATGATTTTAGTCCTCACTGACTCCCATCTCCACTCCCCCATGTACTTCTTCTTAGCCAACCTGTCCTTTGTTGATATGTGGCTTTCCTCAGTCACCACTCCTAAGATGATCAAAGACTTTCTCACAGAGAACAAAGACATTTCCTTCGAAGGCTGCATGTGCCAGATTCTCTTCGTGCATTTTGTTGGAGGGGGAGAGATGGTGCTTCTGGTGGTCATGGCCTATGACTGCTATGTAGCCATTTGCAAGCCACTCCACTACTCTACAATTATGGGCCTTCAAAGGTGCACTGGCCTGGGGGTAACTTCCTGGGTAGTTGGCTTTGTGCATTCTATAGTTCAACTTGTACCAAATATGCAACTTCCTTTCTTTGGCCCCAGGGAAATAGACAATTTCTTCTGTGACATACCACTGATAATCAAACTTGCCTGCCTAGATACCTATTGTTTGGAGGTTTTGGTAAATATCGACAGTGGAGCTATTACTGTAACTTGCTTTGTTCTGTTACTGATACATATATATGATTCACATCGTCAAACTTTTTAAAAGAAAAAAGTGGCTGATATTTGGGTTTCATCAACTAAACTGACATGAAACTATAACATATACTAAATTAGTAAATAAGTGCAATCTAATATTATATCTCTTAGTTATTCTATTTTCAGTCTTGCAGCTTATTCATAAAATTAGTTATTAGCATCTATGGAGACTCCTGAAATATATTCTGACTCAGATTCATAGCCTTATTTTACATAGCTAATTCTTGAGATTTCAGTACTCCATAAAGTGGGTGTTACATGCTAGGCAATGATCAGACATCTTCACATCAACGCAGTTCAAATGTTCCATAAACGTACTTGTCAAATATATTAATCAAGCAACAATTAGATCTACCTTTGAGAATTCAAAACACATTTTAAATTGTCATCTGCACATGATAATTATATTTCTCTAAGATTTATACTTTAAGTGAGGTCAATTAATTAATGAAACAATGAAATCATAAAACATAACATTTACATCCTTCAAGTATGACAAAGAATACAAAGTGTGCTAGGATGCATTTGTTACAGGGTTATGACGGAATTTGGTTTTATGCCTGTTCACTTACTACATGAGGCAGAATGTAATCAAACAGTTATTTTTTCAAAGCTAAACTTTAAGTCATGCAAACAAAAGTAATAGAACATGTTCTTCAGCATCATGATCAAATTCAGCAATTAAAAAATTAATTTGGGGGCTGGACATCTGTCTGGGACCCTGAGCTTCTTCACCTATCACTCTTCCTTCAAGATAACCCCCATCTCTCTCTGTTATTTATGGACCCCCAGATCTGGAAGCTTTCACAGACATGTCTTAATTAATGGAGCTCAGATCTCACAATAAAAGCATCTTTATGCAGCAGATAGTGATTATCACGGAGAACTGTAACTGGCCAATGTACAGATAATAAGAGGCTGTAGATTGCTTATCCATGAATAGAACACTTATTTGAAACTTCTGCCCCTCAAGGCTGAGGAATCATTGAGATAGAGGAGGCAGAAGGATTTTAAGAGAGAAGATGAATGACCACAAGGAAACAGAGTTTGCAGACAGCTGGTCAGTTACTCATATGAACTGACAGCAATGGGGACAGCATGCACAAATCCTACATAAGCACAAGTCAGACAAAATTCCAGCCTAGACATGGAAAAGTGTGTAAGAAGCCCCAACCCTAGCTGAGGAGCTATGGGTGACTGATGACTGCCGAGACAGGGAGATTCATTCTGTTTTCTTTTTTTAATTAAGTTTTTAAAATTTCAGACATTTCCCACTCAAATTCAGACCCCGTCCCCCATCCAAGCCTCCCCCATCCCCCAAAGGAACCCTATGCACTCTTCCATACATGCTGAGTCCTATTCATTCAGGTGTCTGTATCCAAATGTGCTTCAGTGTAAATGTGTCCACTGGAGTCTAGTCAGCCCATTCAGTGGTCGTATGAAAGTCATACTCTCCCTCATCCAGCAGTAATCAATCTCAAATAGTTCTCAATCTAGTGCTGGCGTGACACCTATTTCTTACCTCCCCTTTGGGCTCTTGTTTAGTTGAGCTGACATGGGTTCCATGCTCGATGCCACCACCACTGCAGGCTCACATCAGCTACCCTGCAGTGGCCTGGAAGCCTCCACCTCCGTATATTCATGAACATGCCCTGGCTCTTACAATCTTTCTGCCTCCTGTTTCACAATGGTCCCTGAGCCATGGCTGGGTGATGTTCCAAAGAGGAGTGCCATCCTATACGCTACAGTCTCTTATTGTCCAGAACATGGCAAATTATGGTCTTCTGTGTGCATCACACTCTGATGCACATGGGAGACTAATAGGTGAGAGTTGAGGAGTGCATTAGCCCTCTCTTTACCCCCTATTCCACTATGTTCCATGAGCCTTTGTTGTAGAAATTTGACAGCAAATGTGTCTCCTAGTACTGGGTGTCTCCCAAGTGTATGTGCTCTGTTGCAGGTGTGCAACTCCGCAGTAGCCTCCATTTGTCCCAAAAAGAAGCTTCTTTGATGATTGCTGTACAGCATGTTTGTCACCCTACGGGAGGTCTCTTCTATCTGGCAAGGCATTCCCTACCAAGCAGCTCCCAGGTGTACATATGCATTAATGTTCAGACACTCTGTGCATTTCTCATAGGGATTCTCGGGCATCATTTTTCCCTCTAGGTTTCCCAGCCCCCAAGATTCACTCATTTCCTTTAAGGGTGATACTCTTGGTAAGATCATCAATGCCCTGGGGATGAACCTACACTGACTGAATGGCATTGGAAACACAAGGCCATATATATATATATAATAAAATATTCACAATAAATTTGTTGGAGGGAGTGGCAAGGGATGCAGGTATGGGATTGGATCTAAATACAAACAAAATATATTGTATGAAATTCTCAAAAATCCAATAAAAATTTCTAAAATATACACCAAAGACTCACCTGCACCCTAGTGGAGATCCTGTGGTTGCTGATATGGCCTGAAGACACAGGGAGGGACCTTGTGCCTCTTCCACCTATGCCCTCTCCACTCATAAATCCATAAGCCCCAGCCTTCCTCCAATCTTCCACCGTGTGTTTCTTCCCCAGGTCTCTCCTGATTATTCTCCAAATCCTATTCTGCTGCACCTCCTTCTCCTGCTCTCTCATCCTTAAGAACTCCCCCAAACTCTGTTTATTGTCCTTTTGGGAACCTGTGGAAGTTCGCCTCCAGGCCCTTCCTCTCTCAACCTTTCCCAGTACTCTGGTTTGTACGGCCTCAGGTGCCAGGATGCTTCCTCTGATTATGCCCCTCTGTGGTGCCATGGGAAACTCATTCCACACACCTGATATAAAATTCTAAAGCTACTACAGGAAAAAGTAGTAAGTAGAATTCAATTATAAGCACAAGTAAGAACTCTGGGTAGGACTTCAGTAGTGCAATAAATAATTGACAAACAGGATTTCAGCAAAATTAAGAGATTCTGTGCAACAAAAGAAAATGTAAAATTAGTACACGCACAAGGCAGAAAGTGGGCAAAAATCGTTGCCAGCTAACCTTCCAACAAAAGATTACTGTCTGTGATTTACTAAGAACTCAAAAACCTAAACATTAGCAAAAACAAACACCCCAATTAAAAACGGGCTGTGGAACGGAGCAGAAAATTCTCAGGACAGATGCCACAAACTTTCTTTCATATGAAGCTCCTAGGCTCTGTTTTGTGTGTTTGAATGCACACATGGAAACCATGAAAGGAGAACGAGGCCAGTGGGGGCAGATTCATTTATGGGTGAAGGATAGTAGACTAGAGGTAAAGGGAAAGTAGAAGTGGGCTACGGAGGGTATAAATGTTCAAGCAGTGAGTGGGCTGACAGGATAGAGAAAGAAAGCAGAAGGGAAGGGCTAGCTAAAATAAGGATGTATGGAAACTCTATGGAAGCCCATGATCTTGAATTACCATTTAAAAATATTATAAGAGGTGATATATATGAAGGAAAAGGGAGAAAATACTGGTGATTAAATATATAACCTAGTATAGGATCAAGGGAATGAGAGAAAAGGAGGGATATGGAGGCAGTTGACCAAAACTAAGTCTGTATGAGGAAATATCATGAAATTATATTAGTTTGTAAACAAATTAAAAATATTCTTAATATACTTTTAAAAATAATAAAGTAGTTAAACAAATGTACCATAACTTGGTGGTGACTATTTGTAAAGGCACAGAGCACATAGATTGCTGAGCATAGAGACATCAATTTCAAACTACCAGCAAACTCTCCTTATTGGCCAGCACTCATTGGATGGGAAGTTGCTTGGAAGGCTATTGGAATAGTCAAGACGTGAACCATCTTACCAGGTGCTGCAACATGCATGCTACAATGCTTTCCTGCCAAGCAAGGTGTGAGTACTGGTGCAATGTTGGCATAACTGCAGTGGAGGTAACCAAGTACTTTTAAAAATATATATTTTATTCAGCTTTTGTATATTTTATACAACAGTTCTTACTCTAACATAGACACGCTCCTCCACCTATGCATCCCATACCCACCAGACATGAAGTTCACCATACATATTAAGCCCTATACGGTCAAGCATTCGTACCCAGATGTCCTTCAGTGCCAATCCTGGATCTTACAATATATCCTTCCCCTCTTCTACAATGGTCTTTGAGCAGTGGTTGAGTGAGGTGGAGCATAGGAATCTGGTCCAGGGACACACACTCTACAGTCTCTTATTCTCTAAAACTTGGCCAGTTGAATCCTTCTGTGTGCATCACACTCTGTTGTATAAGGAAGCTTTGCTAGCGAGAGTTGAGGGATGCAATAGTTTTCTTTATATAACACATTCTGCTATTATCCATGACCCTTAGGTGTAGAGGACCTACTGAAGATATGTCACCTAGGACTGGGCATCTCTCAGACATAGATTCTCTGTGTATGACCAGTTGTGGAAATCTGCAGTAGCCTCCATCTGTTGCAAAAAGAAGCCTCCCTGATGAGTGGCGTTGGGTGAATGTGTCCTCTGAGGAAAAGAGGGTGGGTATAGAGACCCAGAGAGAAGTGAAGCACCCAGGTAAAAAGGAGGAGGAGTTGGCACCATGTTGGGAGTGGAGAATAGCAGGAAATCATGGGGGACTTGAAGCACACTGGGGAAAAGGTGTGGAGCCACTGCCATATTGAGTACAGGTGAATGCCGAGCAAGAGAAGACTGGGGCAGAAGACCGATTTACATTTCAAATATGGAAAAGGAAAAGCCCATAAGAATCCAACTTTTGTAAGTCACCCTCTCCCAAATGTCATATTAACTATGTGAAATTCAAATAAAATGCCTCATATTGGTTTGTCAATCCACAACTCAGGACCAGGAGACCCTGAGTGGGGAGGACGGTCTCCCAGTAAAAAGGGAAAAATTTAGTGAACAAAATGGTGTCGTATGGCTTGATAGATGAACCACAGTAGTCCAGGAAAAACATGGAGATATGGGCCTTGGAAAGTATCACAGTGCCAGCAACATCTGGAAAGGTGATTGAAA